GGGGGCATTTCATTTTCTTGGAATTGAATTTTGTTTTCAGGGGTCATTGGATTTAAGTGTCTTAAATAAATAAATAAATAAATAAGATATCACCGCAGGGAGGGGGGGCGATGATAACTTCTTCAATGGCTCAAGGGGGCGTTTCTTTCAAAAAGGTTAAGAACCACTGTTCTAGACATATGGCAAGAAATGTTCGGACAGAGGATGTCAGCACTGCTGCTTAGAAGATTATACTGGATATCTGTCCCCTTTGATTTTGCAACAGGGCAACTCTATTTGTGAATAACATGTCAGAGACTTAGCAAAGACCAAAAAATGTTTGTATGTCCTTTAAAGAGCATTGCTACTAAAAGTTCAAACCAATCCTACTTAAAAATCTGTATAGCTATACACTTTTCCTTTTAATTGTATTTTCATCCTGAGATAAGCTAAGAAAGCATCTTCCTATCTGTTTTGTTTTCCATCAATCAACCGAGAATGTCAACTTTTAGAGCCATTTGCAATGCCCTACCTTCAAAAACTGATGCTGCCAACAAAAAAACGAATGCTAATAAAAACCCTACAGCTTCTTTTTTTTAAACAGAGCAACAATGATCAACGTTATAGATTAATCAATCAGAATACTTCCCCAAAGCAAGAGGAACATAGACAAAAACCTCTCTTGCACTTTCTGCATCGCCTGTTTGTCATTATGACTGCCCATTGCACGCCACAACTGCTGTTAACAAACTACAGTAAAAGAAGACTCGATGGTTGGTGTATCAAAGTTGTGAGCATCAGCTGAACTAACAAAAAGTCAATGCAAAAACCATTTTATTTGTCAGGAAACAGGGGTGCCCTTCATCAGTAAATAATCTCAAAATGACATCGAACTGGTACTGCAAGTGCAGGAAGAAACGATGGCTCACATACTCTTAGGAAGTTATGCATAACAGCAGTGGCAAAGTATCTCCCCCAACTCTTCACATTAAGATAGAGCAATTCTATGTACAAATACAACAGAGATTATGTTGATTTTCTCAGTCATTTTGAGAAGGCAGAAGTGTTCTAACAAGGCCAGATGTCATTACCCAGCTATGTACCACCAAAGATATCACCATGTTGTTTCCTTTGTCATAGCAAATACACCCAGCTGTGATATTTGGCATTTTTCGATGGGGCCTTTCTATGCGTGTGCTTCCATCCTTTAACACACAGTCATGCACACCTCTGCTATACTTCCCTATACTGTACTCCCTTATTTTTAATACCTTCACCATTGTTTAATTTTTTAACACATAAACATGCGGTTATGGTTAGTGTGCTGACTGTACAGCTGAACCACTAGAGAAAGTACTGGGTGGAGGAGCTGTGGGTAGGGGGCAGAGGTTCAGTGCACAATGTAGAATGGGTCTGTTCTTCAACATAGACATTGTAAAGATCAGACTATACAATGCAGTAAGCTAGTATTTAGAAATGGTACTCCCTTCAGTAGTGAAATACTGTACATTCTTGTACTATCTCAGAGAGGTCATATGTGTCTTAGCAATGAGCTTTTCTTACCTTGCACACTAGTTTGTTTTGTTTAATATCTGATCATCAGGAGGTAAAGACAAACTTAATTTTAAAGTCTGATATCTGAGGCACCTATCTCTGAGGAAATCATCTTGTAAAAGAAAGGAGAGGCTAACTCCAAGTCATTAATTACTAATTTTACTCTTGAATGATTGCATTTTAGGGTCAAAGACTTTCACATCCTTCAAGTTTTTTCCCCAAGAAGGAGGTGGGTTATCTCCTTTTAAAAATTCCTTGGCTCTAAAAACCGTTGATTGACAGATGCACAACTGCATTTTTTCAAGGTTGCTGGTGCCATCCAATAGGAAGATACATCTTCTCACTTCATCTCATATTAGTAGGTAGGGGAGGTGGCTCTAAGAATATAAATAAACAGCTGTAACTGCCTATGCATTTTGCCCACACTCATGATGCAATAGCTCTAAATGAGCACACAATATGGGCGCACAACCCTCCACTAGAACTATCTCAAGTTCAACATGACACCAACTTTAGTGTTGCTATTTAGAGATGCATTGACAGTTAGTCCTTATGCACAAATTTAGGTAATCTTTGTTTTATTGAATATTTATATGATTTAGGGCTCAGTTCTGGTTAATGTTTTATGCTTTATCTTCCTCAGTGAGTATTCTAGCGTAGCTGCATGTGACTTTGAAACAGTGTGACTTTGAAACAGGGTGGATAAAAATCAATGATTTTTAAAGTCAAATTGATTTAAAGCATCAACAAATCTGATATTTTAATTTAAATCATGATGCAATTTAACTCAGATCCACTATGAAACACACAGGAATTACTTGCTTTTAATGTACACAACATGGGTTTGTTTCTGAAGTGGTGACTGAGGAACAACTTTTATAAACAGTGGCAGTACCTGAAGAGATGAACTTATAATCACTGTTGTAATCCATTGTGTCTTTTCTTGCCGATTGTTTTCAGACATAGTGACACGGTCACTAAAGCATCTGCAAAATAATTCCAGCCACAGTCTTCTAATACATATGGAAATAGCACCTATTGTGAGAGGAAAATAACTGAAATATAATTCATATATTGTAAATAATGTTAATTAGCAAGAACATTCTATTGGGTCTTTTTTTATAGCCAAAATAATAGGTTCTGCCAAAATAAGAGAAGCAAAGCAAAAGCGGCTATAGAAGGTATAATCTATAAAATACAGCACTGCTTTTGGCTGCAATTCTTAGAACACTGATGAAAGCATAACACCTCCCCTTCACAAAACTCAGTAAAAGTTGCTTCTCAGTAGATAGCATAGCTCTTATGTTGAGTTCTTAGAGACTGCACATTTCCTCCCCTCCTCTCCAGCTGTGCAACACATTTGGACAGAATTTTTCAAAGCACACTACATTATTAATGCTGTCAGTCACTGTTCCCACAAAGGCTTAGTCCCAAGGATTCTCATCACAGCCAGGCACTTTTTAAAAATAGATGGCTGAGAAGCAGCTGAGTTTGAGAGACATTGCAGAATAGCAAGGGCCTTCTTAGGAAGGCTGTATCTCTTGTTCTTCAGTTGCGCATATTGCTGCCACTAGGTTCATTTTTTAAACCTTTCCCTGTCTCCTCTTAGCATTTCAAGTGTTGACAGGTGGCAGGTGGAGACTCTGCTGCTCTTCCTAGCTTTCTGCTGCCTTATGGCAACTGCCTTATGTCGTCTCCTTCTCCTCTTGCCTTCACACTTTCCCAACATCAGGGTCTTTCCCAGGGAGTCTTCTCTTCTCAGGATCTGTCCTTCCAGTGAGCACTCACTGGATGGGGAGGGGGTATTCACTTCCTTCTAAGCCAGTGGTCCCCAACCTTGGGTCTCCAGGTGTTCATCAACTCCCAGAGATCGTGGCCAGCAGATGTGGTGATGAAGGCTTCTGGGACTTGAAGTCCAAGAACATCTGGAAGCCCAAGGTTGGAGACAACTGTTCTAAGCCACTGGATTCTTTAAAGCTGGAATAGGGCTTCTATATTACTGCACTAAATCAGCCATTCTGAACTTTTCTTGGGCCATGGCCATAAAACACAGTTTGAAAGAAATCTAGGCCAAATCAGGACTGTATAAGTCACATAACAAACTTTATGTGAAGAATTGTCTCCAGTCTGTGGCCCCTTCAAATGTGGCAGGGCCTGGTTGCACTAAACAGCCACTCACCCGAATTAGCTGTATTCTAGATATGGAGGATTTACCATGATCACTTATTGCAAATTAACTAATTCTTACCGCAAGATTCACAGCTATATTGACCTCACCATTATGGGGGTTAAAAGTCAGGCCTATACATTTATTTTTATCTGACATCCTTTAACAAGTATTAAGGTGTGCCTTTAACAGGATAGTTAAGTGGATATATGGTTTTTAATACCAAAGTGACCTAAGCTTTCGAACTGTATAACTGAAACAATGACAAAGATATTGCAGCATCTTAAAAAAAAAATTATGTCAGTATGCACTTTCATGTCAGATACCCCAGACACATAGAATATTGCAATTTGACTACAGATACAAACAGTATACACAATTTACTCCATTGTATTGCCACTAATGATTTGGGCCTACTTGTTATTTCTGAGCCTCAGATTATTGTTCTGAGAATAAACTGGGGATGTGTAGGATGGCATGTATACTACCTTAAATATTTTGATGGAAAACCAGGAAAAATCCTATTACCCTATTATTGAGTTAATCACAGCAACCTGAAGGGCAGAAATTTAGCAAATACTTTCTGACAAAGCCTGTCAGAAGGCGAGGTATAACACTTGTTAACAAAACAAAAAATTTATAAGGCCACTTAATGAATTTTCTCTGTGTGTTTCTGCCTCAGATCTAGATCATAATCATTAAAACTTAACTGAAAAAACCTGTTAGCAATTAAAGTGACACAATAGTTAGACATGGCTACCTTTTTAAAAATTCTTAACAGAGGGAGTACTGAAAACAGTACTGTATGTATCTCTTACACTCCAGCTCATTTCAGTTTACTTAAGAAGTGAAAATTAAAATAAATATTAGTTATCTTGAATGCAAAGTCGTGTATTGTGTAATTAACTGCGTATCAATCAAAGGAGTGTAAATCTGTGCATATGGGCTTTGTTGCAAAGGCTTGTTAAATTGATGTAGGAATGAAGAGGATTTTAGATCTTTCTGAATTATTTATCCCATTCCCACCTAGCAGGACCAATTCTGTGTTTAGAGCTGAGGCTGTATGTAATGCAAGTCAGGAGGCTTTGGGCCTAGTTCTGGAAGGGCCTTCCTGCATGTCGGAGCTGAAGAAGGGTGAAGATTGTGAGGAAATTACAAGTACGATTTGGAGAGCTCTCGCATAGTCCTTGGTTGTTGGTTTGTTTTTTTAAACTGTCAGTAGGCAAAATTTAAATGCATAGATCTGTTTCAATGAATTATGGTTGGTCAGCGAGAAAGAACACTATCTTCTGGTTAAGGTAACCTTAAAAACTATTCTGAATTAGGGCAGCCACATGCCTTCATTGACAGAGAATCGTCCTCCATTTGGAATGGCTGCCACAATATAGTCCTCTTTTTGAAGGCTTTCTCCATTTGAAAGGCTGTCTGTTCCAAGTGTGATTTAATGCTAAAGAATTTTAGAGAGAAATCAGTGATCTTGGAGTTGCCCATCAGTACTAGAAACCTGAACAACAGATGCAGTTGGCAGGTAGATTACATGGACCCAGTCTTCCTCAGTCCTAAAAAGTGAACCATGTAATTCTGCTTAAATGAAGAAAAATAATTTCTAATTATATACAGTAAATCTAAATAAACACATTCAATGTCTCCCCCTCTTTTTTTAATGATAATGCATACCCTCCTTTTTAGTGATTTATAAATGGCCACCCTTCATAGGGCTTAGAATCAGCCAAGATTGAATGAGGCAACAGCAAATTTGGGATGTTATAAAAGGGCAGCAGATTTTTACTTATTTAATTTCTTCTTTTATACACCTTTTCATTTGGTTGGGAAAGGGATGCCTTGAGCAGCCACACCTCAGGGAGCAAAGCATTTTGGGTGGGCACCATTTGCTACCCTGTTTTAGGTAGCAAAATATCTTGTGCTGGCTTTCTTGAGATGATTAGATCCGTGACACTGTCATAGTTGATATACTTTTAGAAATAATGCCTTAGACAGGAGCTAGTTATGTTCGATTCTTTGCTGGTAGTCACTAGTAATAATGATGCAACTGTTCCAGAGTTTCGAATTTATGCTAAAATTCCTTTTGCTATGCAGTAGAAGTACAGAGATCCACAAAGGAGATTAGGTACAAATTCCCCAGAATCCACCCGTTTCTCATTAACTGGCACTTAAACTCTCAATAACTGAGACATTTGTAGGAAGAAAAACAAAAAACATTTCTTTTCTTACAATTGCTTGGAATAACAGGATTGTGTATGCTGTTTCTTTACTGCACTCACACTTCACAACCAACTGAGCAGATCAACAACAAATAATTGCCACCAATCCAGCAAAGAGCGGGAAAGAGCTCTCAGTAGAGAGGTGGGGCTGTATTTGAATTCAAAGGCCGGAAGGAACAATTGGTTAGTGCTGGACAAATATACAACCACCCCAACCCAGAAAAGTACTTCCCGGTTACTCAAACCATAGTCAGCCTGCAAGGGTGCAGACAAAGCTCCAACAACAAAGGAGCAGTGAATCCAAAATAGTATGCAAGAATAGAATTAAGGAATGGTTCAGTAAACCATAATGGTGGTGGTTGTTTCACAAATGGTGGAGACAGTTACATTAAGTATCAAGGTGCAGTAGACCATTGCAATAAAAATAACACATGCTACTGTTTGTTATGATGTTTGTTAGAATATACTTCCAATCTGAACCACTACAAAAATCGATAGGAATTACATTAATAAATGGCATGGTATCAGATTTCTGCGCCCATTGCAGAAAAGCATTCTATGGAGAGATGAAATCTCTTTAGATGCAGGGCTGAAGTGGCCACAAAAAGAAACGACATGGTTATTTTGTTTTGCTGAGTGCATGTACATTAAGTTAATAATATTTGTTCTCAGTATAGTGTGTTTGAAAAGAAGCCAATACATTTGGCATAGAGAGCCATTTAATAATGTGGGATATATTATTATTTAAGGGTGGTTTTTTTTTCATTCTTTGTACTGTATCCTCATCTTGCCTCTGTATCAGGGAAAATAGACTAACACAACAACTTCTAGTATCACTTGGTAAACATGCAAGGCAGAAATACGTGCTTGCCATTTATAGCTATGAATGTGGATTCATTGTTCAGTTTTGTTCTCCTTGTAAGCTTACAGTAGAATATTTCACAAATATTCTCAGATGCTTAAAATAATCCAAAAACTCTGTCTTGCTTATAAATTTAAGTAGGGGTTTTATCAGATATCAAGTATAGCCCAAATTCTCTATTTTGTTTATATGTACTGTATTTGTCTTGTTCGTATATATTTGTCAATTGTCTCTGTTTTGTTTGTATGTATAGTGAACGTAATGTAGTGCACTTCAAACAAAATGTTCTTATATTCAATCTCTCTCCCTCAAATAGGACTCAAAGCTGTTTCATATGGGACTTAAATTCCAAATAAAAGGATACTTTTTAAGGAGCTGAAGTCTCATGTTGGACAGATATACAACCACCCCAACTCAAACAATACTTGTATTTCTGAGATGTGAGTAGTGGGAGACAAATTTATTTCAACAACATAAACAGCCCAAAAATGAAAAGCAGTTGACAACTCCTCTCCAGATATCTCAACATTATTTTCCGAAACACAGAATGCACCTTTCAGATATATATAGTTTTCTCAGACCTCAGGTAATCCTGGCGTCTTTCTTTGTATCAGAGTGTTGCACAAATTAAAACTATGGGCATATATGAAATAAAAGCAAAATTAACAACAAACTAAAATGTTAGATCATTTTTATCAGAATCAGGCTACTTTAATAGTGTTATCTCAGCCATTTGCTAAATCTTCTTTAGTACAGTACATGTGGTGGGGTATTAATTGCATGCACATGAGTGCTGCATAGATTGAATTTCTCTCCAGTCACAGAAAATTTGTCCTGTATCCAAGTAGCCCCATTTTACTTGATTATTCTTTGATCTTCATACTTTGCTTCAAAGTCTATTAAGTGACTTCCAGATGGTACAGTTAGAGTCTTGTCCTGGTGGGAAATATTACAGTGGTGCCTCGCATAACGAGTGCACCGTTTAACGATGAATCCGCATAGCGATGCGGATTTTGCGATCGCTAATGCGATCGCATACCGATGTGTTATCGCATTGCGATGGGGGAACAGCTATTCGGCGGTTCCAAAATGGCCACCGGAACACCCAAAATGGCCGCCGGAACACCCAGAATGGCTGCCGGAACACCCAAAATGGCCACCGGAACATCCAAAATGGCCACCGGAACACCCAAAATGGCCACCGGAACATGGGGGAACGTCGCAGAACGGTGAGTTTGGGGCCCATTTGGAAGCCAATGGGCTTTTCCGTTCCATTTAGCAATGTTCCCCCATAGCGAAGGTTGCGGGGCACCACTTTATATTAATCCATATAATATCAGTATTAATCCATTCAGCAAGGTACAGTATGTTGTTTTTGTTCTCCATAGGTTTAGTCTAGCCACTTCTGGTTTAATATTTAGAGTCTGAGATGTGTGCAGAACAGTTTTCCTTGATTTTAACCATAATCTAGAGTGTTTGGTTACATTAACATAACAGGTGGCAAACCATTGACCCGTTTTGTTCAACTCTGTCTGCTTTGACCTCACCTACTCTCAGATTGAATATGTCAGAGACTGAACCCTTCTGCTTGGAAGAATTATAAAGAGCTGTGGAAGAATTATAAAGAGCTACTTTGTTGACTGCAACTCCTACATCTCTGGAAGATGTAGTCCCAAACCATAATGTTTCCAAGTTCTACTTATAGGCTTCTTCAGTGGGGTGACAGTCTTTCACAGTTTGCTTTGATTTCATCTACTGAAATCTAACGTGATGCACTTTTATTTACTATATACCAGTGGTGCCCCGCATAGCGACGTTAATCCATTCCGGATTAATCGTTGCTATCTGGAAACATCGCTATGCGGGGGGGGGGAACCCCATAGGAACACATTAAACTTTGTTTAATGCGTTCCTGTGGGGCGAAAACTCACTGTTATCCGAAGATCCTCCATAGTGCCGCCGTTTTCACTGCCTCAGTAAGTGAGGGCAGCACACGAAAATGCTTGCGGCGGCCATTTTGTTGATGCGGTGGCCATTTTGGAACCGCCGATTAGCTGTTCTAAAAACATCGCAATGCGAAGATTAGTAAGCGAAATGCTTACTGATCATAGCAATGCGATGTTTGCTGTATCTAAACATCGCATTAGCGATCGCAAAAAGTAGATTGCTATGTGGATTCGTCGTTAAACGGTGCACTCGTTATGCGAGGCACCACCGTATGCTGCTTATTCCTGTTTGAAACCTAAGAAAGGATGCAGAACATGTTCCTCCAGCATCAAACCCTCCCCTTTGTAACATCATGCCTGACAAAGAGTTTTTCATATTAAAAGCTTGCACATAGATTTTTGTGACTCTTTAGTTGGCCTAACAAAAGGTATCACATCACCACAACATAGATTTTGGAAGTTGCTGTCACATTCCCACATGGCCCCTGATTGTTTCACAAAACTAAGAGCTCACACTACGTGTCTTTCAGCTGCCATCAGTTGATTACATCAGCATTGTTTATTATTAATAACAGAGGTCCAGGCAATGTGTCATTTTTAAAAGAACCAAATAGAAATTGTTTATTGTTCCAGATCTTGACAGAACAAGCAATGCTGTTAACTCTTAAACATTCTCCTTTATCCACTTTCAACCACCACTCTCCTGCCCAGTCTCCAAAACCACACCAAACTCCTCAATCTTTCTCCAACTCCTCAACTCTCACCCCCTCCTCCTGCTCTTATATCTCATGACTCTGCCCCTCCAGCACTCCCATTGGTCTATGCAGATATCACATTAATATTCATGACCTGGGCAGATGCCACAATTGCATAGAATGGTTTTCCATTTTTCAGTCCTCTAGAATCATCAACAATGCAATTACTGAACAGTTTCTGTGTTCCTTACCTGATGTAGCTCCTGCTTAGTGCTGTATTATGGATCAGTATGATCATATAGTCATGAAATATTCACACAAACACAATTATACCCTTTTAAACTGAAGTCACTTCAGACATAAATCTCTGTTGCTTCTATACATGTGCCATATAAAGAGCTGACAGAGTACAACCAGTGAAACATACTGTGTATGTGTGGTTAAACAAAAGATTGCCCTCTAGCCTCAAATTTAGAATAGAAGCAGTCACTGCAATTTTTCAGAGTTCGTCAGGATAAGAGAAGATGACCTCTCTTCTCACGTTTCATTGCAAAATCCTTGTAATCCATAAGAATGCTCTTAAGAATATCCTTCTTGGCTAAATCAGAACACCAAATACTCCCTTTAGGCTTGAATCCCAAATAGACTTGCTGAAATGAATGGGATGTTTTAGTTAATACCAATTTAAATCCCTTTTTCCAATCAGTCTGTTCTAGCTGTACTAGGATTTAGCCTATGGAAATTAAAAATAGCTGCATTAGCCTTTATGTTTTCTTAAAAATCTAAATTCTACAGTTGAGCAATACCTTTATTAGGACCAACGATGAGTAAGTTATGTTCCCCAGAACTCTTCAGTAGACTAGGTGGCATAAAAAGCTGTGGAAGAAATTGAAAAGTGCACTCATTGGGCCAGATGCTGTGGTTAAAAGGTAGGGACAAGCAACCTCTACAGATGTGGTGCCACTGTATATACATTTTGTCTTTTAAGGGCCAAATCACACCTGCCCAAAGAACCCCAGTTAGATGATTTAATAAATTTCCAGCCACTCAACAGATGGCCATGATCAACTCATTATCCCAACCAGCAGTTTATTTCTGGTTTATTTACCTCTTGTTGTGTTGCATCATTCCTTCTCAGTGTAGCCCATGTGCATGTCCTTACTGATTTTTTCCCATCATTCCCCGGAGAAGGTGGCTGTCATAGCTCTGTGGCTCCCCTGCAATTAATTTTTTAAAATATTTTTCTGTCGTTTGACAGGGGGGATCCCAATGCAGATTGACTTCTTTGTCTTGTTTACTGCTTGATGCCTCAGCCTACTGTCTACCAAGTGGCACAGCCATACAGGCAGGGGCAGGAACCATAGTGATCAATGCATTACTTCTAGAGTTGCAGGCACCACAGATCAAATGTTCCCAAACTGGAATCCCTTTCCACCATATTGATGTATCAGTTATGGATTAAACAAACAAACAAACAAACAAAAGGAAGGGGGAGCAGTGCTCCAGGAAGCATCAGAGAAAATAAACCAATTCCATGATGTTGCAACAATAAAGTTTCAAATAGGAAGAAATGAACCGGTAACATTAAAACCAATGGGGACGTTACCGCCAGTATACAGTATATAGAAAGAATTGACAGAACTGGGGTTCATTTGGCAGGTGTCATCAGGCCCTATGTGCTTACAATTGATCTCCTGCCCTCTTATTCCTGTAACTGATAACTGAAAGAGGGAAGTGCTTTGTCCCGCTAGGTGAAAAGGTGCACCTATGCTGAGCTGTGATTTGCTCTTTTCCAGCCTCATTCTTCTTCAGAGTTTCTTTTGGTTTTGTATTTTTGATTACCATAACATTACAAGATGGTTGAGAATGCTGTATTTCAAAAAATATGTCACATGTCTCAGTTCACTGCTGTGCAGTTTCCATGGTTGTCTACAATTCCTGACCTGAAAAGGTAACCTGGGAGGAGTTACCTTATGACATCTTCCTTGTGGTTTTTCTTGAGGCTGGAAGTACTGTCAGTTGCCACAGAGGTGACCGTAGTGAAAGACAAGTCATACACACACTGCTTGAGTTATCTCATGAGTGAGCTCAGCACAAGAATCCAGAACCTTACCCATCAGAATTTCTGTAGTTTTTCCTCTTTTGAAAGTCTTTTCAAAAGGAATTTGTTCTTTGTCAAATTGAATGAGAATGGCAAACATTTGTACGAGATCCATTTTTGCCACAACGTCAATAATTTAGGGTGATAAATTATTATTTTTTTTAAAAGAAAGTGTTGTTAGTGGCAGAAAAATTCAAAGTTCCTTTTCAAGAGACAAGAAAACCCTCTTTCTTTAGGCATTTATTCTGCTGGAATGGTTATGTGTGGTATTCTACAGGTTACGCAATCCTTGAGAATGAGGAAAAAGAGTATAAGCCAACATATGAGAACAGCCATGGCCACTGGACTGTTTCTCAACTAAATACTGTATTTGGAAAAAAAGTAGTCGCAAATGCAGATGCTGCTTTTGACCTAGGTAAACATCTACAGTACTTTACTTTGAAATTTCTCCATACTCGTTGTAGCTTAACTGAATACCCCATTACTTGAACGAACACACTAGTTTTTTTTCGATTGAATGAGCTCCAAGTAGCTGCTGTGTCCTTGCTGAATTTCCTTTCTTTGCAGATTCCTTCAGAATTTTATCTTACCTTGAACTAAAAAAAGAATACTGAAGTATTCATGCTTTTCAGACCTGAAATTAAACTTTCAGGCCAAATATGCATTTGTAAACAACAGTACCACTCTTGCATGGTGGTTGGCAGTGCTGTTGCAGTCTACCATTCTTTTGGACAAAATATGTCATGTTTCAATCTCCACCTACAGTTTGAAGTGGCATAGTACAGATGTAAGTTTGGGACCTTGGGAGCTAGGCCATGGAAGATAGTATGATTTCCCTAAGGATACCTAAATGAACTCCGCAGAAATAAAAGACCTCTGGCTTGCAGAATATTATTTTAGAGGGCTGTGAAGTCCACCAACTGGATTAAATGCACAGTAGCGACCAGTGTTGGATACACTTTCACACAGAATGATGAAACATGGTGCTTCTAAAGCATATGCTTAGCTCAGGAAGTTGTTTTTAGTTGCACAGCAAAGCCCATCATTTCACATTTACATTTGTGTGTTCACCTTTAGCTTTCTTTTCTTTAGCAGTGTTTAAAACAGAACCGCTAGATAGCTCAGTGGTTTAGATATCTGTTTGCAGAGTCAGTGGGTGGGAGTTTGATTCTCCACTGTGCCTCTTGTGTGCAGTGGCTGGATGGACTTAATGATGAATACGATCAGGAACGTTTGTCTGATGGTGAAGTACTTACAGATATAAACAGTCACTTCTTGATACTCTTCACCAAATGGGAACGAGAAATGCTCCCAGAGTTAAGAGTCATAATGTCACCGATCTGATGATGTTACTACTCAATGTTTTCAACCTGCAATGTCCATTTCACCCCTTCCCCCTGCTATTCAATACTTGCATACCAAAGGGGTCAAATTTAATTTAACTGCCATTATTTTAAAAACAAACAACCGTTTCCAATTCTCTGGACACTGCAGCCATTTAAAGTGTACTAAAGTAATATATGTTTGCTAGAGGTTCCAGAACCTGTTGATTACAAGCTAGGATAACTCTGCAGATTTGAACCTGCTTTAATATGTTTTACAAGCTGCATATATCAAAGTCTGTTTCATGTTTAACAAAAATCCAGTAAACATTTTTATGTATACTTGATTCAATTGAAAACGGTATCAACATATAAAACTGGTGCATCTGTACAGAACAAGTGGGCTATAGGCCATGACTGTCTGCTGTTCGAAACTGCAAGCCAATGGATCTAAAAGGCTTCCCCCCTTTTTTTTGAAGAAACACAGCTTTAAATTTTATTGCTGAAATAAAGGTCACATGAGGTGCGTATTTTCCTACAAGGTGTTTTAAACTACAATTCCCACACTATCTTTGCATTTGCCAGCTGGGTGGGGCTGATTAATAACTGCCAGCCAAATCACATGGAGGATGATGTTTCTTCACTCTTGGTGTGGAAGCACTGTAAGCTCCAATGTCTTGGTACTTTATATGCATTTTGGGCTACAAATTCTCTAAGTGTAAATGTCCTTTGAACAAATCTCTAGCTTGTAGATCTGTTTGTTGTACAACACAAAGACATTTCCACAACTCTGAAATCTGCTCAGACCTTGCCTAAATCTCTAACAGTGTGAAATTTAAACCAGAATAACTACTTAAAGTTGATACAGTTGTTAAATGTATTTCTGATTTTTATTTCATGATTTCTATTGTGCCAACACATTTAGGAGAAAGGTAGCAAGGTCCCACCATTCCATAAGACTGCAAGTCTTATAGACAAAGCCAGCCCGAGAGACCACACACAGAAGGTCACATCTCATTCTTAAATTCCATCTCCTAGAGGTAACTAGTCTGGTGACTGAATCTTCAACAGTGGTGACAGAACAGTAGATTTAAGAGGGGCTGGACATCACACATACAGTTCTATTCTCCAGGACATTCTACTAAGAAACACCATTTTTTGGACAAAATGTGCATATATGCATGGATTCCAGACAGGTTGGTGCCCCCAAGGGATTCCAACGCCAACACATTCCCGTTCTTCTCAATCAAGGAAAGGAATGGAAGTAGAACAAAGTGAAGAATGCATTCATCTAAAGCTGTCAATCATCAATCTTTTTTAAATGTACCTGTCACACACTGCATTAGCTTTATCAATTGACTGTAAGGTAATTTTCAAAATCAATGCTCACAATTTATTTCTTCCTAGAAAAGGACCATTATGTATACATTCAGTAATACCTTTGCAGTCTTGGATTTAAACAATTTAGAAATTTATTGAAAAGTTTCAAAACAAAAAAAGGTACAAAATCAATCTGGAGAGAACAAAACATACATGCTGCTCTTTATAAATAAATTCAGAAACAGGTGCATCAAAACTTTTCCTGTACATTCAAACAGACATTTCTAGTATTTAAAGTAATGTTGGCACACATCTTTTTGACATAATTGCTGTGAATTTCTTATCCTTGAATAAGTTACTATATGGAGAATGATAGAAGAAAATGGGTAGCACTACTTATTTTGCATTCACATTTAATTAATTGGGCCTCCAGACATATATAATTAAGTGGTGAATGAATACAGAGTAGGACAGTAAGCCATGACTTTTTCATACAGGTCACCTAATTCTTCCTAAGACTCATAGAAGAGGGAAAAAATCATGCTGAAAAATAGCTTTTTAAAAACAATCATTAAAATTCTCTTAAGTTTATTTGCAATGAAATCTTAGTTAGAATGGCAGGACTGTTTCAGTATCAAGAACTGATGCTCTATTTATTACAGTATGGAAATACTGCACCAAATATTTACTTGCAGAGGTACAGGAAAGAAGGAAAGAAGTCTTATGTCAAACATCTGATCAATGATGAGTTTCAAGTTCAAGAATTGTCCATTCCCCTTGTGGGGAAGAACAATCTTCAGAGGAAAAACTTGCCACTGTGATGCTTGCTGAAGAATCATCCAGTGGAGATATTAGTTCAGTCCACCTGCTGAAAGTGTCAATCTGTGCTTTACCCTGAGGTTGTGAACTGTCTCGTGCTAGAAATAGTGTCTGATTGATGAGATACTGTGCCAAGTTAAGGTCTTCAGGAACAGAATTTTTGATGTCCATGTTTGACTCTTGGTCTGATAACAATTGCCTGAGAAGTGTCCAGTCCTGTTCTGCAAATTCCTGATCTTCAAAATCCACATCCAGAATGTCCACTTCTGTTTCCATCCTCTGCTCAAAAGCTTCCCCAACATCCATCTCGTATATTGGAGAAAGGGTTTTTGGAGGCCGATGCTCATACATGCAGGTTTGTGTCAATCTGTCACAATCATCTATGTCTCCTGAAATAATTCATAATACTATACATTGTAAAAATTGCACGCTTTTTCCCCTCTGCAGGGCTTTTGTACATCATACTTAATTCAGTGCAACAAGACCAATCCAACCAGATAAAAGGTAAGGAAAAAATGTATCTGTGTACAATGTTCATAAAAGCTGAGCCAGTCTTTTGTTTTGTTAGATATTTAAAAAATAAAGTACAGCTTATAAAGTTAAAGCAGCAATCACCACTGGCATCTGACAATCAACCTCCATAATTAGAAAAAAATTCTGATACAGAAAATGACAAGTCATGTAAACCAACACTGAATGCACATGGATATCTAAAATCATTAAACATATGACTTTAAAGCAGCAGATTAGGAGTGGGGGGAAGGGAAAAAATTAAAAGGAGCACATGATCACTAGACTAGCGACTTAAGCCAAATCAGCTTCAAAGGGAAAGGAAAAAACAAATGGTTTATTCACAATATTTAAGATATTGCACATGCAAAGGGCAGCTGCAAGCAGAAATAAGCAAATTAAAAAAAGTTACAACTTGAAAGCTTATTGGCTTGTATGGTTCTTCTGAACACAAATTATTTTGTAACTCATGAATACACAGATGTTCTTAAAAGGATAGATCCAAGTACTCTTATGTAGTACTTGGGGTACTGAGTTGAATTTCGGTTTTAACAAAGACACACAAAACAACTAGACAACAAGCTACCTAACCATGTGAAGCAAGCATAAGTTTAAATATATTAATTGGCTTTAAAAGTGTGATCTCTTTATCTAAAAAAAAAAAAATCCCCATTGGCAAAATTCAGAACAGCTGCCATTCTAAAGGGGTATCAGGATGCAGACCAGTTCCCACTAATGGCAACAGTAGCAGTCCCATTGAATCTGACAGTAGAAAGATTAGTCCCCGGCTCCCGTGCAAAACAGAAACAAACTGCAACAATCCAGAATATAGCTCTTAAGGTAAATACTGCAGATCACTTTTAGTTCCAAATAGCAATGTACTTATTGCACATCCCACATTGATAAATAGGTATGTATATATATATATATGTATATATATCTATATATAGATATAGATAAAGATAAATAGAACAAGAACAAGTTATATAGGATGCCAAACAAAATGATATCGAAACTTTCCTTAAAAGATACTGTCAATGGCCTACTGGGACAAGGAAAAAAAAGGCTCAGAGGCAAGAATTGCATCCTGGCTTCAGCAGTGCCCAAGGCAAATACTCCCAAATGCTCACTAGACAGGAAGTTATATCATATTCTTTACCACGGAGAGCTGGTAACTTAATTTTTGTTTCAAACATGAGCATTTAATTATATATCCATTTGGATCAACACTCCAAAATTAAAAAAACTCAATCCCCCTATAAAGCTAATATTTGTTTAACTAATTTGAGGGACTTAACATTTTTATTTCTGTACGTTACCTGCAGATAAAGCAGTGCTAGGATATTCAGTAGATGCTGGCTCACTTTCTTTCAGGTGAAGTTCCTGAGTCAATAAGTGACTCCTACACAGATCTACAGGTTTTGTAGAGCCGTTCTTTTGTAGCTCATTATTATCTCTTTGATGAAGATCCAAATGACATGGTCTTCCTTGAGACTTTGGGTCACTGTCTGGAACTTTATTGCACTGAAATTCATTATTTTCTTCACTTCTGGCATTCTCCTTATCTTCTGTGGAAGACTCGTTGTGTGCTACTGTCACAGTTTTCTCTGTAGCCTTTTGTTCTGTAACTAAAGTACCCAAATTATCATTTCCTTTTTGCTCACTTCCACAAGAATCTGCAGAACAGTCCTCAGTTTTGTCCAGCCTTGTGTTTTTGTTGTTATCATTATCTTTACACTCCAGAAATCCATCCTCAATCTCTAAGGAGTATCTTGAATAAAATGTTTTGCCAGGATGCTCATGGGAAGTACCATCAAACACATCAGAAGGAGTTGCAGCATCCAGAGGACATTGGAGGGGTGTGTGGACCTCTCCACCATCATCTGATCCTAATTCTTCACATTCATCGACTGAAAGTAGCACAGACCTCTTGAAGTTTTTAGTAGCAGAGAATTCTTGATTTTCTGCCTCATTTTCTGCTGCATCTTCAAAGGCTAGATTCACTATTCCATGGAACTGCTGAACAGGAACTTGTGATGGAGGCAGATTTTCTACAACGTTTTCATTTTCAGACTTTTCATCTTCAGTTTCATCTGCTGAAGAGGAGACCTGATCAGCTTCCTGAGGAAATTGTACAGTGGCGAAACTGGCATTATTCCCTCGGGATCCACACCTTCTCTCACCACCCTGATGCAACCATGTTTCAGGCCTTTTTCTAGGAATCTCATCATCGCTTGTTGAAATCATCCGGAAGAGGTCAGAATTCTCCTTTTTCATTTTTACTTCTATTCGTAGACTGGTATCATAAATTTTAAGCTCCTCAGGTGTACTTGTATCACTGCTGCTTCTGCCAAGGAAATCATGGCATAACATAGTGCTACATTTTGAAATCCCTCTTTCATTTGACCCCTCATCATCCTGAGAGCCTCCAGCATCATAATCTTCTGACCTTGGCTTTATATCATCAGATGATGTTGTTGCACTGCCAGTGTCTGATTCAGGGCTTTCTTTTGGATCAAGTGCACTGGAGCTCAAATTCCAATGTTCTGTATATGGGGCCTCTGAGTTTTCATGGCTCTCAGGTGTTTCTGTGGTATCAGTGTCTTTAGAGGAGCATTTTTCAGTCACTTGTCCTATGAAAGATCTTGAAGCAGCATCCGATTCCACTGTAGCAGACTGAGACTCGGTCAAGACTGACTTATCAGAGAACTCATCAATACTTTCAGACACTACCATGCAGGGCTTCGACGACTTCTGTTCCTCTTGTTCTGAGTTACAGCTATCATTCATTGCTTCAGAAAACCTATGCGGTGGCTCGTCACTGTAGTTAATGTCCTTTTCAGATGTGAACGTGTCTACTGATGTTGCTTGTACCAAAGAGTCCTTATTCGGGCAAGCAATAGAATCAGAAAGTGTCTTGGATTTTAACATTTCTTCATTTGAAGCCAAAATAATTAGATTCTGGTCAACATTTTCATATGCAGTGCCCTTTAGCTCCTTAACATGATGAAATTCAGTTGCATTACATTCTTCAGTCTTTGCGTTTGAAGGAGATTTATCATTCTTTTCATTCTTAACCTGGTTTGCAGTCTTCTCAGTTTGAATGGACATCCCTAGATCTGTAGTATAAGGGTATTCTAAATCTCTTTTGGGTAGTTTCTCGCCAAGGGGACCAGTCTTTTCTGAATTAGGTATGTGTCTTTTATCTATTTCAAGCAAAGATGCACCATTATTATTTTTCTTCCCTGGAGCAGCTTTGTTACTTCCATGGAGCTCAGTTCCTGATGCAGAATTTTCATGCTTAGGGTTTGAATGTTTTTGTCCTTCTCCATGTGTGGTCTTTGGAACTGGTGATTCACTTCTGGAATGCTTCTGGCTTGAAGATGCAAACTTTAAAACAGATTGCCCTGTAACCGTTTTCTGTTTGTGCTCTTTACTATTCCCTGCTTCACTCTTCTTTGAATGGGTTTGGTTTTTGGCTGTTACTATTATTTTTGCAGTAGCTTTAACTGAAGCACTTTGAGAAGATTTGGACTTTTTCTTTGATGAAGCTTGCTTCTCCGATTGTGTCAAGTGTTGTGTCATATTTTTTTCTTCATTTTGTTTTGGAGAATGCCCAGGCATCAGTTGACTTGGCAAATCTCCTGGCAGACCTAAGATGACAAAATCATTAGGTTATGGTACAATCCAGATGTTGTTATTGTTATTTGCTACTGAATTACCTTAACCTGCAGCTTCTCTAATTGGGTTTTTGAGATGTGTGAAGTGTTCAACAAGTAGTTTAGCACTGCCATACCCCCAGTGTCGATGGCTAAGTGGCAATTTGAACAATGATCTCTTGAGTCTAACACACTATTACTACACCACATGGGGTCTTAATAGCAAAGTATATTTTAAGGAGACGCATACATCACAAATTTCAGAACGAAATGCCATTGTTAGTCTCCAATACAGTAAATCCACTGAATCAATGAAACTTGGTAAGTCAACAGTTAAGTAAGTTCCAATGATTCGATGGGTTTACTCTACTTGGTATTAAGCATGGCATTTAGACCACAGTATTTCATACGTTTATAAAAATGGTGGCAATTTAGATATTCACAAAAAAAAGAGCAAGAGAGAAAGAAAAACAAGTTGCTGCTGGACATGACAAGGTGTGTGCTAATTACCTCATATCCTGCTAGTGGGCTTCCCATAGGCAAGTCTATGAGGCACTGCAGGATCTGATTAGCAGAAACCATTATCTGCATAGAGTTAGAATTACGTATGGAGGTCAACCAATACACAATCATCCTGAACTTACCTTGGCCTTTTGAAGCATTAGCTACATTCTTCAACTTCTGCTGATGTGAAGAACTGCCAGCTTCATTTCCTTTTTTCTTCAAAACTCCTTGCGGTAAATGTTCATTATTTCCCTTTCCAGTGCATTTCTTTACAGAACTAAAACAGAAACAAGGAACTCAAATTATTTGAAAACTTAAAAGATCTACAAGACATGCCCTATGTGTGTTCCATTTGAAAAGCATGGCAACAAAATGCTTCTTGCAAGAAAAGCACCTCAACCAGTCCACAGCATGGTGGGAGGTACAAGCATTCCCTTTCCCCACTGACTGTCATGTAGCTCCACACTGATACATTACTGAGAGAAAGGATAGCAAGAAAGGCTAAATCATAAAGCAGCATTAAAAGCAGCAGAGGTGGGGAATGCACAGCACTCCTGATGTTGCTGGACTACAACTCCCATAATTCCTTTCCACTGGTTACACTAGCTTAGCATGGTCAGAGCTATAGTCCAACAAGCTGACCTATGTGTCCACAACTGTGGGCTGATGCATTAGCTAATCACTGTATTTATACTGCCTAACTATATTTACAACTATATTTATCGTTGCCGCAGATCTCTTCCACTTCATCTTGGGTATATGTAGAGAACAAGTGAAATGTGGGTTCTTTTCTGCATTTGCCAGGGTAAGGAGATTTGAAGAATCAGCGAGAAAGACATGCTGTTTCTTATCTCTGCAAGTAAGAGAAGATCCTTTCTCTTCAATCCTTTAAGAACTCAGGAAGGGAAGATGGGGTTTGTGGCAAACATGGTAATGGAGACAGAAAGAGCAGCCCCTGGTCATTAGTCTTATGGAGCCCTGACAGCGTCAAAACTCTGTTACAGACTGTTTTCATTGTAATCATGAACTGGGATGGATAATTTGGAACTAAGATACAACCACACTGGGTTGGTGAACTGCATTTTTAATATAGAAATGAAATCCCTCTATAAAGCTTCCCACTTCGAATCACCACTCTGTCTCTCAGCTAAGGGACCAGTTGAAATCACATGGAGCACACATGGTTGATGGGATTACAGGCTCCTGACATCTGTGCAGACTTAGGCAGCCTGCACAGTCCAAGGTGCTACCATAAGGAGGGACTGGTAAACCATTGCTAGTTACATGTAGAAAACCACTGGAGGGTGACAATAAGTTGGAGTCAACACGATGGCACACAATTATTACTCAAAAAACTACTTGGTTGATTTTCAACAGACCTGTTCACTGGACTATTAGCTTCAAGATCATTAACATGTTTTTTATGGGCTCCATTAGTCATCTTCGAAGTAGACTTTGTTTTCAAAGCTGTACAATGAAAGAAAAATAGTATTAGACAGTTAAACACCAATGAGATATTTCAGATAATTAGATGTCCTCCTTCTTCTTCCCCTGCATTTCTTTCTGTCCACAAATATCCAAAAGCTGTTCAATACTCGAATTCATCAAAGTTGAAGTAATGACTAGCTGGTTTTAAAAAATATTCCCAAACCATTCATCTAAATGAAATGATATACAAGCAGAAAGGAAGGGAGATGTATTTTATTTTGGCTGCCCTTAATCAATATCTTTGAAACAGCTATTAAAATATTTGTAAGATTTGTCCAAGGGCTTAAGAGTTTGTCTGTCCATCACCAACCTTTCCTTTGCATATAAATATAATTACAGACAGAAAACGAAAGAATCAGGCCAATTACAACCCATCACTTCACACTGCCTTTTAAAAAAAACATTTCTCATAGTTCACAGTGTATGATCTCCGTAACAAGTCTGAAGGGTATCTCCAATTACTACCTGAGTGTTGTTTGCCTTCATCTATTTTTTCCTCCTTGAATTCATCTAGTTGCTCAATGGACATCCGTAAATCTGTGCTTGAGTTGGTTGATTTGCTCAGTGTTTCAGTGCCCAAGAGAGAGGGAGACTCCTTGCCAGTGGTCTTCTTCAGTGGTTTTGCTTTAATCTGTATGCTTGAGCTCCCAGGAAGTACTTTTGGTCGGGCACCAGCAGTTTTACCTTCTTGGTTTTTCAAACCTTTGGCACTTCCTACATTTTTGTGGATGCCAGCAGACAATGATCGGTCAGAATCCTGTCTAGTCAGCAAGCCTTCTGTCTTAGCAGTTCCATTATTTTCTGTTTTGGATTTTATTACAGCTCTAGCCTTGGGTGAAGGTGTTTTCTCTACCATTTTGGATTCTTTTGTCATCTTACAAACTGCTTTTTTACTGTCTTTCCCCTTTAAATCGTCATGTTTCAAAGCCTTATTAGTGCTGTTCCTGTTGGTAGCCGATGTGTGTCCAGATGCTCCTAATCCATCGGATTTCATTTTATCCCGATTAGTGGAGGAACCACCCCAACTGCTTTTCTGTCTGTCTGCTTTCCAAGCAGTAGGGTTTATACCAAAAGCATCAGTAATGCATCTGTTTAACTGGAGAAGAAAAGATCATTTATCAAAAACATTGTAAAGGTCACTGTTATTCATGCTGCAAACTCAGTTCAGCATAAACTTTGATCTCCAAGTACCATATTGAAATTAAAAGTAGTTGCCTTCTGTATTCTGAAGTTTAAAAGCAACAGACTGCTGTTTTGAGTATTTCAGACTGCAATCTTAAACATCTCTACTAGGGAAAAAGCTCTATTGGAAATAATTGGACTGACTTCTGAATAAATATACATCTGATTGCACTGTAAATGCATAAAAGCTGTCACCCTCCAGCATGCTCAAGAAGCAGAACATAGCATTATGTGGAAGATAAGTTTTCGGATCAGACAGAACAGATTTGATTTTCAGTAGCAGAGGTCTTAAGGGGCAAAACAGTGGTTTGGCCTGCCTTGCCTAATTATATCATCCACCTTTCCCTGTATTAGTGAATGGTTACTGTTCACCCCTACAAAGAAAAGTAGGGATCTGCACTTAGAAATGTTGCAATGAAGAATACATCAGCCTCCCTCTGCCGACACTGGATGATCCAGCCCCTATAGGCAACAATCCTGCGGGGGTTGTTCTGCCTCTTCATGTGTAAAGCACTCTCTCAGTGCACCATTTTAGTAGTCCTTGCAACATACAAATCAATGCTCCACACATACACATCCTTAACTGAAGGGCATTGTGCTAGGAATTAAAGCTAAACATTCTGCTTTTTTTCTTTCTTGGTAAGTCTTTCAAAAGTCTAGTATGAAGATTAAACTCAGCTTCAGGTCACCCTCACTTCTAAAAGTTTATTATTCTAGCCTAAAAACAATTTGGTGTTTTATTGTACATCAGGTCATATATGTATGTGCTCAGGTGCCTATGTGTGTACTCTCACCCATGAAACTATCATTTTCAGCTATGCTCTCTATCAAGTACATGCACCTCTTGTGTCTGAGGAAGTAGATTTTGCTCCAAATAAATGTCATACTGAAATCATTTTGTTAGTCTTTGAAGTGCCACAAATATTTTGCCTCCCAACTCTTTTCTCCTCTTCATTAATTTTGGCAATGTGTGAAATAGACTAAAATGGCAGTTTCTTTGGATTTTGAGCTATATTCTCTTGCATGAATGTCCTTCAAAAGATGGAGGGCAAAAGGATGTGTAAATAACAGCATGACTGAACAGGACAGCTCCATTCCATCTATGTAGCACACCATTTGCTTTGCTTTGCGCATCATTTGCTTTACAACTTGGAAAATGCGCTTTTATGAAACACCATGTCAGAGACATATGCAAGGAGATAGAGAATGCAAATTACTGCAGTTCTAAATATGTTAGGGCTGAGCATTAACTCTTGCTAAACTAACACCTTCCCACAAAGGACGAATTTACTCTTTGAAGCAAGGAATTCTAAGATACAGTGCCAAGAAGTTCAGAGATGGACATTAGCTCAGCCAAAATTAAAAGAACATCTGTCAAAATGTTAGCCTCTAGCCTCAAGTCACAACTCAATCAAACAATATTTTGACTACTGCATCATGAGACAAAAGGCTGCTTGCAGAAATGTAAATGACTTGGAAATAAGATTGTGGGTTTTGTCATTATTTTACCTGAGAACTAGTGAAAACGGGCTTTTTGGTTGGTCTTCTATCATCGCCTTTGTCAAAAGCAGCTGTATAAGAAAAGCATACCTTCCTTTAGGAAATATGAGAGAGAAGGGCTGGAGAGAAGAACAGCCTCAGGTAGAGAACCTTTCTGTAGAAGAGATAGGGTAGCACTTGGGAAGAAGCTGGACTTAAGAACATATGTTACCAAGGTATGGACAGTGTTGAGCCTGAACAACACAAAAATAAAACAATCTAGATCCTAAGAAAGATCCCCTCCGTAGTTTCACTGTATGGGGTAGGATTATTTGAACTTCCATTCATTCGAATATAAGAAAATTAGTTTAACAACTATATAGCAAACCTGGTTACACATAGCCATTTGGTATTTACTGGATATAGACAACATTCATTTCTTTCATCTCAGCGATTTTAATCAAGGACTGTAAATTTGCTCCTGCACATATCACTGTAAGTGAAGTACCTCTTGCAAGAGAAACCAACTGCAGCTTGGTTTCATGAAGGTCAAACCATGCAAGTGTCTTGAGCCAAGACTGCTCATCATATACAAAAGTTTCCTGACACTGCAAACATAAATGAAGCTCCCAGATGTGGCACAGTAACGAGACTTCTGCAGTGCTACAGCTTATGTAACCTACACTCCATGGATATAACCAGAGGAATGTGTTTTGTACATAATATCCTTGGCTAGTGTACATCTGACCCAGAGAAAAGTAAAAAAGCATTTAACACCATCAATTCTATGATTAATTGTATTTGTGACTTGCATATTTTACGATACCATGCAAGAGTCAATTATACTTTCTCCCCTGAAAAAGAACACTTATTTGACTGGATTCCTCCGTGAAGCTCTGTCTTGTAATGGAAGCCATGAAAATGACATTATGGATGTTTAAGAGATTATCTGCTTTTCCCATATAATTTTTTTAAAAGCTCTGTTGTGAGCTGATAGAATATTCTATGTTAGGGTTGGGGGCATGTTTTCAATCATCCAAGCTTAACTTTGCTCATTTTTCAGTTTATTGTTGTTGGGGGGGCGGGTGTTTCCTTTTGAAAATCTAGAATCTCATCCAATCCCTAAATGAGAACTTCATAAAACAAAATGTTCAGATGAAATATACACATCGTTTTCAGAAGATGACGTCCACGCTAATCGGTACAGCAACAATATGCAATCCCACACCATTGAAATATTTCTACTTCTTTGGGCACTGTAATTATAATGCAAAAATTAATCCTATGGATGTTTTCAGAACAGAAACCCACACCTACTAGCTGAAGAAAATACCTGACTTCATGAACACAGGGCAAGTTACTATATTACATCTATGGACACAAGTACTTTTACACTATGGAGCACTATTTAAAATTAAGACTCCTAAACCAATTCCATTTAGGACATGACTGAGAGGATATTTAGGAAGGCAAGAAAGAAAGAAAGACAGAGTTAAAAGCAGCTACAATTAAACAACACCTCACAATATAGTTTATTCAAAATGCTTTTGAGGAATTTTTTTAAAAAAACACCTTGTTTGTATTACAAAGGCAGTTATTTAGCACTAGCCACATGCTTGCGGAATATAATAATCCTGAATATGTAGCATCTATGTCACTGACTGGAGGAACTGCATGACTACAGCACTAATATTCAAGCATTGCCCTGAAGCCATTTTTAGGTACCTCATCTGCAAGACTTCATTCCATACATTCAAAAACAAAGGGGAAGGGGAGAAAAGGGAAGCCAGAGCAAGATTCCTTTTGTTTAGCCAGAAATTCTGCTTATATTTTAGAAACAACTATGATGATTCTTCTGCAGCACATACAGCACCACAGAAACATATCCACCATGAAACCTTCAGAATCTCTTTATTTAATATTAAGTAAAATTTGTTATCAGGCACGGTGAATGCTTCCCATAATATAGAACACAAACTAAAATCCTCCAGCTACGTACATTGAATCCGTCTCTACATAATCCTTTCTATAGTGCCCATATGCTTTGGGGGCATGGGCACTTCCAATATATTTTTAATCATCGTAAGGGGGGGAAGACAATGTACAGTATCTATTTATACAGTTTGCACACATTTTGCAGTTAATCACATGTAAGCAGCATCGTTCACAAGAGGGAGTTGTGCAGTAGCTGAGCTCCCATGCTTGAAGCTTCCAAGCAGGTTATTTTTGGAATTTATAAATCTTACACAACATTTGAGAGCAGAAGGTTCATAACGACATCCTTCCCGCTATCATTTAACTACCCATTCCTGTTAACACATTTAATAAGGGCACAGCTAGCGTTATACTGCCGATGGCTTGCCTACCTGCTTGTATTTGCTGTTGATGGTCTGGCTTCAGCAGCTTCCAGCTCCCTGTGTGACGAACAGCATAAAATGACTGAACCAGGAAGATCCACAGCTTATCACGCAGAGCCTGGATCTTGCACGTAAACCCCTGTGTTCAAATAAGAAAATCAGCAGCTGGAAAGAGCCACATCGTCATAGCAACCAGTCATTATTCCTTACTGAATCTACTTACTCTTTAAGCCAGATCAGTGAAGTCATCACTTACATTTTATGATTGCTGAGTGGATGAGGTTTGCAAAGACCAATTGTCCTGCACCATAATTTTACACAGCTTGAAACCAAACCACTCCCACAGAAGCCATAGCTCATAAAACATCAAGCATTCCCCTCCCTGTCATATCTTTTTTTTTAAAAAAAAACCAAATCATCCTCTTCATAGCTTTTTACTATTGGCTATGTCACTACAAGGTCAAATCCTCTAGGGGCCAATAATGCATCTAATTAAATTTTCATCACTCTTGCTGGATAAGTCAACAACAGGTGAGGGTTACAGTAATGGAGAAACAATAATTTGTATAATTTTTATCTGCAAAACGATTGTTACATCAAAATTTAAAACATGCCACCTGCCTAATGACTACTGTCCATGACACTGTTAATATGATTTTCAGAAAATAATCATCACTAATTAAGAGTGCAGAAATATAAAACATGCAGTACTTTCATCAATGGTGAATTTTTAAAAAATCCCTTAAAGAAACCTGCTAATGTTACTTTACCTTTACTTGCACAAATGAACATTACACAAATGTTAAAAGCTTTTACTCAGCCCAAAGTATACAATGGCAAATAAATTCATAGCCAGTAACTAGTTTCATTATTTTCTGTTGTTAATAACCCACAGTGGCAAGGAAGGATGTTGTCCCACAGGCATACTTTAATAAAGGAAGTTATCTGATATAAATGCAGACCAATGGCCCATTGAATCTCCTCTAATGGAATTGGGCTGGCTATGGATATCAAATCCCATCCTCTGGGTTAGCTTAGCTTGTGCTTCTCTCCTATTCTGTCCTCCCCCCTTCTGTTCCCATGCAAGAGGAGGGCAGTGGAAGTCTTCTATACCAAGCTCCCAACGGCCTAGGCCAGTGGTTCCCAATCTTGGCCCCGCAGATGTTCTTTGACTAAAACTCCCAGAAGTCTTCATTCACCACTATCTGTGCTGGCCAGGATTTCTAGAAGTTACAGTCCAAAATGATCTGATGGTGTTAGTAGTGCTAAACATTAGAAGACAGGCCAATGTGATCCTTCAAGCTCTCAGACACTGATTGGGATCTAGTGGATATGGTGGATCAGTAAAATCATTAGCAGTACAGGTAAGTGAAGTCTGAAGTGGAATTTCCTGCACTGTTAGAAGTGGTTTTTTTCATGTAAAGAAAGAACTGGAAACCACCCCAGTATACAGTATTTACTATAGACTGAAGAATGTGATGGGGGGAAGTATTAAAATACTAACTAAAACATTATTAAACAAGTATTAAAATATTAACTAAAGCTCCTAAAAAGGCCTAACCTGGACCCAAGACTGGTGGTTAACTACTGACCACTGGCAAAACTCCCTTATTTGGGCAAAGTGTTGGAGCGGCTTGTGGCCAGGCAAATTCAGGTGCTGCTGGATGAAACGGATTTTCTGGATCCATTTCAATCAGGTTTCAAACCGGGTTTTGGTATGGAGACTGCCTTGATCAGCCTGTACGATGACCTTTGCCGGGAGAGAGACAGGGGGAGTGTGACCCTGTTGATACTCCTGGACCTCTCAGTGGCTTTCAACACCATCAACCATGGTGTCCTTCTGGATAGGCAGACTGGGTTGTGAGTTGGGGGCACCACTTTAAAGTGGTTCCACTCCTTCCTGGCTGGCCGTGTCCAGAGGGTGGTGCTGGGGGACAGTTGCTCTGCCCCATGGCGTGTATGTCATGTAGTTCCTCAGGGCTCAATACTGCCCCCCATGCTGTTTAACATCTACATGGAACCGCTGGGAGAGGTCATCAGGAGGTTTGGGCTGAGGAGTCAGCAATATGCTGACGACACTCAGTTCTACCTCTCGTTTTCCACCAATCCAAGTGAGGCGGTTTCTGTGTTGATCTTGTGTCTGGGCCTGACTGGATGAGGATTAATACACTGAAACTCAATCTAGACAAGATGGAAGTGCTGTTAGTGGGTGCTTCGCCGGACAGGCTGGAGAGCCATTTCCCTGCCCTGAATGGGGTTACACTCCCCCTAAGGGACAGGGTCCGCAAACTGGGAGTGCTCCTGGACCCCAGTCTAACTTTGGAAGTCTAGGTGGACTCAGTGGCCAGGGTCGCCTTCCTTCAGCTGCAGAAATTGTACCAACTATGGCCCTACCTGGATGAGCAGAGTCTTATGACATTTATTTATTTATTTATTAGATTTATAACCCGCCCATCTAGACCAATGGTCTACTCTGGGCAGTATTACAAAATTTAAAAAGCAATCAAACCAATAAACATGCAAGAATCCAAGATGTAAAAATGTAAATATTAAGATACAGCAGGAGGGAAAGCCTGCCTAAATAGCCATGTCTTAAGTTTACTTCTAAAGTTATACATGTGCTGGTAACATCTCGTATAGATTACTACAATGTGCTCTACGTGGGGCTGCCTTTGAAGACAGTCCGGCGACTGCAACTGGTCCAAAATCGAGCTGCGCGGCTGGTGAGTGGTGGGGCTGCTAGGGGACACATCAAGCCAATTCTGTTTAAGTTACATTGGTTACCAGTTGCTGCCCGGGCCCAATTCAAAGTGCTTGTTTTGACATATAAAGCCCTAAACAGCTTGGGCCCTGGATACCTGAAGGACCACCTCCTTCCATATGAACTTACCCAGCAGTTAAGATTTAGCCAGGGGGCCCTTTTGAAAGAGTTGTCCCTCAAGGAGTTAAGAGGGATGGCTTGTAGACAAAGGGCCTTTTCGGCAGCTGCCCCCAGATTATGGAACACCATCCCAATTGAAATTCATCTGGCGCCAACACTGATGACATTTCGGCGCCAGGTCAAAACCTTCCTGTTCCAGAAGGAATTTAACTGAAATAATATCAACGGTGAGTCCTGATGGCAATTTTTAGAGTATATATTGTAATTGTATTTTAATTGTTTCATCTTTTTTACTTTATTTTAATTGTTGTAAGCCGCCCAGAGACCTTTGGGTAGTGTGGGCGGCATATAAGTTAAATAAATAAAATAAAATAAATTAGTTTGTAAAAACTTTTTTATTATCTCACAATTATCATGAATATTGGCAATGAGCATACTATTTGTCTTATTATTAGTAAGAAGACACTTGCTACTTAGGCATCTTACCAGTCTCTTTTTGAGAGATTCTGATATGTAATTTTCACTTCCTAAGACAGAATGTTAGCTATCACTCTTGAAGAAGATTTCTTTTGAGTTTTAAATTTTGGTATTATTATCTGCTTCTAATATATGTTCTATATGAATCATATAGCTGTTTCCATTACCTCAATACCTGTTCAACTCAAAAGCTGAAGGTCAGGGTCTAAATGAGAATTTCTGGAAAATGCATCAGAGAGGTAGAGGGTGGAAATCACCAGACTTTCAGGAATTTAAACCCATTTTGCAGATGACAAGAGGAAGACAGACCTACTTAAAATCAGAGTACTGTATAAGTGCTTCCACTTCTAATGCAACTTCTAAGAATATACTTAGGACAGCACATTAATAGTCTGAGTCAAAACAAACCAACAAACAAACCCATTATGCAGAACTATCAAACTATTTACTAACAGGGAACTCACTCTCAAAGTGCTAATCCTTATGTACTCAAAGTATTGCTACCCTATCCACATCCAAGGGACAGATAGCAAGCTCAGGAGCACTTTTTTAAGTTTAATTAAAATTTATTTTTATGACACATACATACATACAAAACAAACCAAAACAAGTAAGACAATCAAAAACATATAAGACAAACAAAACATATATACAGGGAGGTATTTCCCATTCAAACTTATCCATTATAGAATTCTGACTACAACAGATCTGATGCCCTACTCCCATACTAAATCATACTACAGTGGTGCCTCGCTTAACGAGTGCACTGTTTAACGATTAATCTGCATACCGATGCGGATTTTGCGATCGCTTTTGCGATCGCATTACGATGTTGCCTATGGGGAAAAATCGCTTTGCGATTTTTCCCCATAGGCAACCATTTTCCCCCATCTCTTGCAGAGGAGGGAGGTGGCTCCCTCCTTGCAAGAGCCCGCCTCCCAGCTGGGTAGAAAGGCTCTTGTGAAGGAGAGCAGGGACCTCCACCTCCCTCCTTAGCAAGAGCCGGCCGGCGTTTCAGCTGGGCAGCGGGCTCTTGCAGAGGAGGGAGGTGGCTCCCTCCTTGCAAGAGCCCGCCTCCCAGCTGGGTAGAAAGGCTCTTGTGAAGGAGAGCAGGGACCTCCACCTCCCTCCTTAGCAAGAGCCGGCCGGCGTTTCAGCTGGGCAGCGGGCTCTTGCAGAGGAGGGAGGTGGCTCCCTCCTTGCAAGAGCCCGCCTCCCAGCTGGGTAGAAAGGCTCTTGTGAAGGAGAGCAGGGACCTCCACCTCCCTCCTTAGCAAGAGCCGGCCGGCGTTTCAGCTGGGCAGCGGGCTCTTGCAGAGGAGGGAGGTGGCTCCCTCCTTGCAAGAGCCCGCCTCCCAGCTGGGTAGAAAGGCTCTTGTGAAGGAGAGCAGGGACCTCCACCTCCCTCCTTAGCAAGAGCCGGCCGGCGTTTCAGCTGGGCAGCGGGCTCTTGCAGAGGAGGGAGGTGGCTCCCTCCTTGCAAGAGCCCGCCTCCCAGCTGATCGGCGGTTCCAAAATGGTCGCCAGTTTCGCGCCCCGCTTACCGAGGGCGCGAAAATGGCGGCGGTATGGAGGAACTTCGCTGAACGGTGAGTACGGAAGCCACTGGAACGCATTAAACTAAGTTTAATGCGTTCCAATGGCTTTTTGCTTTCCGTTTAACGAAGTTTTCACATAGCGAAGGTTAATCTGGAACGGATTAACCTCGCTATGCGAGGCACCACTGTATATCCGTATATATCTACACATATTATATTTCGTATCCCTATTTCAAATATTTAATTCAATATCTAACATCCTAAATTTATAAGAATGTTTACAAATTCTTTCACCTGCATTCCCCTCTACCCAAATTGTCATCATAAGGATTTCTAATTTGATCGTTAAGATTACTTATCCACCAATAAAATCCAAACATGGACAACACAATCATCAAAATCACAATTTCTAAAGACATGAAGATATATATCTAATCTTATCTACATAGTCACTATTATAGTTCAAACATATTTAATATTTCTATATAATTGCCTTAAAAACAATAGCATCTAATATTATATTCATCATAAACATTTCTTTCATAATTAATTGTGCTTGTCTACCATTACTAACCAAGCATGGGCAGAATTGCTTATAGATATGTTACCCATATTAATTTATATATAAACAGTTATCTCTCAAACCAATGATTTGTATTGTTATGCTCAGCAAGTCACTTTCTCCCTTTTTATTTGTGCTTATCAGCTCCGGTACCATAAATCCAAAATTAGCCTCTTGCCTCCTTTTTACCAGTTTTAATGTCTTGTTTTCAAAGCAATGTATATCTGTATGATCTGTGGTCATAATTTCCTGCCCCCAGCTCTGCCCATTCCTTCCCCTTTACGTTCTTTCTCATCAAAGTACAGTGGTGCCCCGCTTGACGCTTACCCTGATAGACGACGAAATAGCATGATGATGAGTATTTCAAAACCATGTTTGTATGGGGTTTTTTCTCTTCATGATGATTGGTTCCCTGCTTCGGGAACCGATTTTTCACTTAACAACGATTTAAAAACAGCTGATCGGCGCCTCTCCAAATGGCTCCCCGCTGTTTTGCTGACCTCATTTCGCAAAACAGGGAGCGGAAAATGGCTGCCCCGTGAAGGATCTTCACTGCACAATCAGGTATTTTCCCCATTGGAACGCATTGACCGGTTTTCAATGCATTTCAATGGGTTTTTTCCCCGCTTGACGACGATTTCGCTTAACAGTGATTTTGCTGGAATGCATTATCGTCGTCAAGTGGGGCACCACTGTAATCTTAATGTACTTTCCCCACTCAGACCCCCACCCATCCCTTTCCTCCTTTTTCATTTCATCCTGCTTTCTAAGAAGAACAGTCTCTCTCTCTAGTGTTTTCGTGATGTGTTCTTCAATAGTTCCAGTCGATTTGTCTTCCGCCTCCCTCTTAACATACGATCCAAGAATTGTCGCCTTAATATCTGCCTGAACTTCTGAGATCTGGGCCTTGATTTGATTAATAATGTTCAATTGAAATTCCTGAATACAGACCTTGAAATAATCTTCCATTGTGAGTAAATCTCAGTCTCTATCTCCTCCTTTCCCAGTCCATAGCTATAAAAGTCAAACCAAGCTAATTACTCAGATTCCTCTCATGATATATTGGCCAGCCCAAACTTGAGTCCTGCAAAGACCACGCCAATCGTAAATCCAGCCGTAATAAAGATGTTGTTTGATCTATAATTCACCTTTGCAGCTCAATGCAGAGTCACTTAGGGTTAATTTGTTCAGAGTTATTTAAAGTTCTCAAGCCTCTAATTTATAAAAAGCTGGTTTTCCCTCTCATTGGGGTAGAGAGAAAGAAAAGTCAGTTAGTTTCATTTTCCATTCCAGTTAGCTGTGACGCAGTAAAAAATTTCCAGGGTTTCAGGGTTACCAAGTTCTGCTTTGAGATCTTTCTCCTTAATAACAGCCTCCAAGAAAAAAGTCTGATCTATTACTTGCTGTAGCTTAGTAGCAGTTCATTAATCTCTGTTCATGCAGTCAGATCGTAAATCTTCATACCTCCCCTTTCTCCGGGCAGCTACTCACTGTCATCATGGCAACCTTCACGAGACAGTTGCGTGTGGGAAAGGAAACTCATTCCGAAAGACAGACTGCTATCTGAAATTCGGTGTTTTCAAGCCCTCACTTGCTGCAAGTCCACTCACCTGTGAGAAACTTGCCCTCCCCGAGGGGTCAGCTGACTTGGAGTAAAAACCCAGGGGTTCCCAGAGCCCTGGAATCTCCCTGTTCTCGCTGCCCATTGCTCCGCCCCTCAGGAGCACCACAAGTTTTTATAGAGTTACGTTTTTGGAAAAGAAGTGTCTGTTGGAGATATCCTCAAAACAGCCTTGTAAGTATTCAGAGAGTCAAGCGCTCAAACAATGCTGTATGTTGAAAAAATAATAATAATGAACTGGGAAAGGGGTGGAATACAACACTTCCACTTTGAACAAGAAAACGCTTACATTTTGTTGCAATTGTCCAGCTGATTACTTAGTTGCAAGAGTAGAAATATATGCCCCACTGTGCCTTTCTCCGAACTGAGTTCCTCCGTGAAGCTCAGTAAACAACAATGACAATGAAACCTTTTCAACTGGGGATTATTTTCTCCCTTGCATTTTACAAGACCTACCATTTCCTTCACATTTGTGGAACTCAGTAAGGTGTCCATAGCTATAAGAAGACTGCAGCCATTTTCAGTGCTGATGCCTTTCTGAACTGCTTCAAAAACTTGATCAAGGAGGTCAGGTTTGCTGCTCATGGCCTGGGCCTAGAAGATACCATAATAGAAGCGGTCAGTTAAAATCCAAATTTAAAAATGCATTTTTAGTACCGAAGCTTACCCTTTCCCCCCAACACAGGCACTATTCCTGTTACTTTCTTCCATCAAGTTCAGCAAGCTTTCTCAAGCAGCAATAAGCTAGGTATCCAAAACAAACACAGCAGTAAGACACAGTGATATTTATGATCAAGTGATTTTAGTCATGAGGGTGTTATCTATGTTACTTCTTTGTGCAAGTACTTGCCATATTTAAAACAGTTTTACCACACACCCTCAGGCCTCATTAGATACCTTTCCTCTCCTTCTCCTTCCAACACTGTTTGGATCATAGAAAACCCTCAACGTAACCAGAACCTCACAGACTGCATTCCAATAAACATTTTCCCAAGAGCAAGCTCCAATGAATGAGCAAATATGCCTAGGATTTTGCTGCGATCTTGTTCCACTAGGTATCTTAGACCAGTGGTTCTTAACCTTTTTGAAAGAAATGCCCCCTTGAGCCATTGAGGAAGTTATCATCGCCCCCCTCCCCGCGGTGATGATATCTTTCGTATGTATGTATGTATGTATGTATGTATGTATGTATGTATGTATGTATGTATGTATGTATGTATGTATGTATGTATG